TCATCCTTTCCCTATTGGAGTCGCACCCTCCCCCCAGCCCCTGCCCAGCAGCTGGTATGGAATGTGTTATGTAGCCTGCCTGCAAGATCGTTACCAGACCAAACAGGTACTGATTTCACGACCTGTTCTTGACCAGATGATGTGCTATGAAGCCATTGGAGTATTCTACATGTGCACTTTCAGTAACCCGATAATTTGTGATCACACACAATAACAACTACAATGAGAAAATTTCAACTAGATTAAAGCTTAAATAATTTTAACATGTAATGATTAAATGACACCTTTGGTATGTTTTTTTTTTAGATGGAGTTTGCTGTGCAAATGACATGTCAGAAGTGCGTAAATGCAATTCACAATTCACTTCATGGAGCAGAGGGTACATCAAGCTATTTTACATTATTAGTAACTAATCACAAACAATAAAAGTAATAAATAGCTTTATAAGGATCACTCATTGAGAGTGCAGACTGGAGAATGCAATTTTTTTAGCCTTTCATTTTTATACAAAGGATGTGAAAAGGGAAAGAGGGGAAGATGGTGCTATAAATGTCCTCAAACCGTATACCTGCAGTTTATTACAAGTACCATGCATTTAATTCATTTCCTTTGTGGTCGCTCATTTATTTTATAATACTTCTTCAGATAGCCCGTGAATAGGCTCTCATGGGCTGCAGCATGAGCGAAGGCAGAGCAAAAAGCAATGAGCTAGCATTTTCTTCTCTTGCTGGCTCGTCTCTTGCAGCTTCGCCTGTTCTCATGCTGCAGTGCATAAGAACCTGCTTGCAAAACTGTTCTTAAGAAAACAAACACAGTTTAAGTGAGTTTGCTCTTTGGTCAAGACTTTTTTTTATGATATTTATGTATATTTAATCTGCATCCGGCCTAAAAAACCTCAGTGTTATATACAGCTGACAATGGTCGTTACTTTGATAAAGGTGTTAAGTCATTTACAGTGGATCTGGATACAGAGCAAGTCATTGTCGAGACCACACTATCAACAGCGCAAGTCCAGAAGATGATAGAAAACTCAGGACGAACGGCCATATTACGTGGTCTTGGTGCCACAGGTAAATCTTTAATTTATTTAACCCTTTTAGAGAAACTTAAGAGTGCTGATATCTTGTTTCTCTTATCAAGATGTACTTTTAAAAACTAAGTTGTAAGGTATCTTAAATAAATGTCATGTCATGTCATATCACTACATGTCATGTCAATAGAACCGAGAGATAGCAGACAACCAATGTGAAGAGAGCAGGGCCCCATTGCGTTATACTGAAAAAGAAATTGGATGTTAAAGATATACAACCTTGTGTGTTACTTAATACAGAAACACAACCAAAACACTTAGGAGCTGCTGTGGTTGAGATGCGTAGTGGGAATATTCTTGGTGTCACCAGATTTGTTCAGGTACTGCATGAACAGTAACTGTAAATACCAGTAGTGCCATCATCATCATCATTATCACCTTTTTGCGTTCATCATTGCCCTGCTGAAATGCAACATAAATCAAGAGAAACTCAGGGAACAGTCAGACTCTCACTGTCATCATTACAAATTTGTTGTCAAAGTCAGGGAATTTTATTTTAACGTTGCTGCAGAGAGCAAGTGTTGTTGACCATCTTGTTATGGTTTGAAAATTGAATAAATTGCATGAAATTGTGTTTTTTTTTTGGTGGGGGTGGGGGTGGGGGGGGTCACATATTTTGCTCTCTTTATTCCAAGATCACAATTCAGATGAAAAAAGATAATTACAAAATGTTTCATGTAACTATTTTTTTGTCAATTGCCTAAAAACCATGATCATGGTAAATTTTAAGCCATGGCTAGTAGACAAAACCATGCTTAATTTCATACCAAAGTGGGGAAATCTGTGACCATTTTCTGTCCAAATGGGCTCAAAACAAGCACACTTGGCCCACCTTGGGGTGCCATACACCCCTGCCCACACCCCAGTTTTCCCCTCCGCCCTCCCTTTCCCAGTATTTTAACTCCGATTATGGAGATGTTTAGTACTGTTGGTATGGTGAGCTCCTTTGATGCTGCTCTGTACATGTTTCTGTTTCTAGCTATCTGAGGATCTCTGTGTGATTGATGGCACAATTGATGGTCTTACTCCAGGACTCCATGGGCTCAACATTCATGAATTGGGAGATCTGTCACAGGGATGCAGTAGGTAATTGAAAATTACTGGCAGAAGCAGTGTTAAAGTTTCAGTTAAAGTTTGTTATCTTTTTACACAGCCACATTTCTTGTTCATCATTGTGGTAATGATTTGTTGCAACAATAACATTGTAAAAATAAGGCTATGTTCACACCTGGTGCAGAGCGTGGTGTGCAAGTGTGATTCTCACTGGGAACTAATGTGAACAAAGCTTTTTTCCAAGTACTCACACCAGAATTTTGGCACAGTGCTGCTCATGTCCAGGTATAAGGTCTTGATCTTGTACTCAGGCACTAAATGGTGCTTGGGTACTTTGGGGTACCCAGTGTCTGAATGCAACACCATTTTGTGCCAGTGTCCAGTCACGCACTCGGACACCAAGTGTGAACACAGCCTAAGAACTGTTTATATTTAAATTCATTTCATTAGCACTGGTGATCACTATAATCCCAGAAATTGTAAACATGGAGCACCGGAGGACAGTGAGAGAGTAAGTTTTTTTATAAATTAGTTTTGTTTTGATATTAATTGATTTTTAAAATTGGTCACTTACTGGCTGCATTAGCCTGCGAAACAACAACAACAAAATCTTAGCCTAAATCCCTGGCCACCAGATTTGTTGCTACTGGGGGCTGGGAGAGGGGGGGAGAAGGGATGGCGCAATGGTGAGAGCAGTCATGTCCTACCAATGTGGCCCAGGTTTGATTGCGGCCCAGTGCCATATGTGGGTTGAGGATTTTTCTCTGAGTTCTCCAAATTCCAATTCGACCATGACAGAGGACCCACATGAAAACTAGCTAAGGGTGATGTGCTTCCTATCTCAATATTGTAGTGTATTTATTTATTTATTTACTAGTCACTCAAAACAGATTAAAATTAATACCAGTTTAAGCTTCAGAGCGACTAGTTACTCCACACACTTAGCAGCAGATGTTTTGCTCTTAAGATTTTTTTAGACACCGCTTCTTGAGGTCTTTCTTTAAGAGCATACTCACCATTAATTTTTGTCCTTCCCTTCATTCGAACTCCCTTCTTTCCTTCTTCATTTTATTTTAAAGCATGTTGGAGACCTTGGTAATATACTAGCAGACAAGAACGGCAGGGCTTCTTTTCGATTAGAAGATAAAACTGTGAAGGTAACTGTAATCAACATACTGAATAGATTTTAATTTATAGGTGATCATCTAAAATGCCAATTCTTGGTTCCTTTCTAGCATTTCAGATCTTTAGTATCCCTCCCCCAACAGCCTCTCCTATCAAAGGTACCCTTAGCACCTTAGGAAGTGGTATGTTCAGGAGAATTTCTGTTTTGAGTTATCCACCTTCCTCTGGTTGATTGACTGTAATTGCAGCCTCTTACATCTTCTTTTATGTGCACTAGTTACTTTACTATCAATTTTCAAATTCTTCTCATTTCTTTTCAACTTCCTTGATGCTTAATCTAGCTTTTATTGTAATCAAATTCTCACAAGCCATGAAGAAAAATTAGAGGGGCCAGTTAGGAGAATCTGTCGATGGAGGAATATATTGAATAACTATCATGTTTTGCATCTTTGCCAGGTTTGGGATATAATTGGCCGATCACTAGTTGTACACCATGGAGAAGATGATTTAGGTCGTACCGATAATGCTGTGTCAAAAATAACAGGAAATTCAGGCCCAGGGTAAGGCAATCTAAGCTATTGATTCATAGGATTTGGAAAGGGTGTCAGATTGATAAAGGTGCAGCAGCCTAATGGTTAGTGTGCTGTACTGCAATCAAGCAGTCTGAGGTCAAGTTATTGTGTCCTGTTTGTGGACAAGGCACTTTATTTTCACATAACTTACCTTCACCCAGGAGTATGTTAAATAACCTTCTCAAACTCATTAATAATTTGTCAAGCTTAAATAAAGGAAATCATGACCGTGATGGTGTTTGGATATCTGATCTTAATTAACATAGATTTTTAGGATTTTATTTCTCCATTTTCTCCGAAGTTTTAGTTTCGATTGAGAAGACATATCAAACACTCAAGACAGTTTTTGACCATATTTCTAAACACCTCAAAGTTCATCAAAAATACTCTGCTGCATGTCGTATTTTCAACTCTCTTCTCGGTGTTTGGAAATGTGGTCAAACATGGTCTTTTGTGTTTGATATATTACTTGTAGTAGACAAGCATCCCATCGAGGGAAAAATAGAAATACTCTTGTTCACTTTGTGCTACTGAAACTGGACCAAAGCAGCAGGAAGAATTTAATCTACTTGCTAATACATTATTATAAATTATAATAAATTTATTGTTCCCTGCAGATGGAGCACTATGAACAATTCAATAGATGTGTGTGCTAATTGATTTTCATCTCCAACTTCACACAGCTTATCATGTGGAATAATTGCCCGTTCAGCTGGTCTTTTCCAGAACACCAAGAAATTCTGTGCATGTGATGGGAAAATCCTTTGGGAGGACAAGCCACTTTCTGCACCTACAAGCATGCCACCCTCTCAGTTATGACATGAATGTGTGTCTTCACAGTTAATATGAATACTGTGTTAAGCTGTTAGGTGTTAAGAATAAACAAATTCAACTGAGAGAGATAATGTCTTCAGCTGAAGTCACTCAAAATTCTTGTAATTTGGCATTGAAATATCGTCCAAGCTCTTGGAAATCGACCCTAAGTAGGTCAAAATCAAGGTGTGGGTAACCCGCTCTCTGCGACTTTCCAGTCTCTAAGCAAGTCAAACAGGGGCTATATTTCGGCCAGCATGCACATAACGAAGCTTGCGATTATTTACTGAACTGGAAAATGAGGGTTGCATAAGATGTATGCAGCATTTATTTACAGTGGCTGTAAGGCAGGGTTCCACTGTAGTTAATAACTTTTAGAAAAAAGTCCTTAGAAGACATGCATGCTGATTGGTTAAATATTGTGTTTCTATAACTCGATAGAAACACAAGTAGCACGAGCTGTTGATGTAATGATGGCATGAGTAAAGAGAATTTACATTTTGATAATCAAAATTAACAAGTTGTTTTCCTTTTCTTCATCGTGGTGTTTTCTAAAAGAAATAGAAAACATGTTCTCCGTGTTTCTATCAAGTTACAGAAACAGTCTGGTGAAAGTTTGGGAGAACTCAAAAAAGCTGTGGAAACACTCGCCTGCAGCTTGTGTTCCCACAGCATTTCTCGTTCTCCCAAACGTCCACGCATGTTTCTATAACTCAATAGAAACATGGTACATGTTTTCTATTTCTTATATAAATCATTATTTTCATGATAGAAGTAACTGGGATATAATTTTCACTGCTACCTTCCAAGATGAAGTGAGTGCAAAAGTTGAATCTTTTATTAATCATAAGTACACTGAAATATCTAAACTGTAAGCTATGTTAAACTGTTTTGATAATTAAAATAGTCATAAAAAACTTCCATAATCTTGTGTTGGTGGTCTAGATCGCTTAGGTATGAAAACTTTACAAATTCTCTTCACACGGAAGGGTCATCATTAAAGTTGATTTGCATTGTATCTCTTATTTGTTGCTTAAAGGTTACTTTACACCCAGTGAGATGCTGACCTGATTTGAGTGAAAAAAATTGGCCTAACGGGCATTTTCATTCTTGTGGTACAAAGCATTAACATGTTATGAGGCCCAGAAATCATGGTTTGTAAATTGGTTGTCAAATAGGGCTAAGCGATGGCCTGACAAAGTATTGTAAAGAAAATCCACCTTAACACTACATTGTAGCTTAGCATGGCTAATTAAAAATAATTATACATTTTCAAATTGATCAGCTCTTGGTCCTCTTCTTGTCATATGCCTTCATGCGGACAGTTTGTTCCATCTCCCACTTCCGTAAATCATCATGGTTCATCAAATGCTGCATGAGCTGTGACAAAAGACTGTCACAGTCTCCAAAGACCCTAGAACCTAGCTGTATTCCCTTCTTATCCTGAGAAACACACAGTTTGTCCACATCTGTCTTTTGCCTGCCAAAGGATGCAAATAAGCACTCTACTGATATCCAACAGGTCAACATAAACTAGGTATAAATATTATAGGCCACTTATTTACATGCTATGTATTTCATGGAGGAAGTGTTACTAGCAGTTCTTGTAAGAGCTGTAATAAGGGGCATTGTTTCTGTTGTTTGTTGTATTGCCTCGGGTATCGAGTCATTCTTGAGCTGCTCCCAGCTCATTTAGGGGGCGGGGGTTATCTTGGGAAGGCTTCTCAAATTTCACTAGTGGTCCTGTGGCAGTGAGGGAAGAGGTCTGTTTTCAGCTTTTCTTTACCCTTGGGTGTGCACCATACCACAATGACAAGTGTATTTCAAATATCAGCAAGCCAATTGAGAGACATGTTGCATAAAAGTTTTTTTGGTTTTTTCCCCAAATGGGAAGAAAACAAATGGGAGAAGTGAACAAATGGTACTAAAAAAACAAATTGGTTCCAGGATTGCTGGTTTAATAGTTAACACTACTGATTGTCTGAAGGCACGAAAATGCACTGCAAGTTGTGTGGTCAGCCCAAATGAACTCACCTGTTGCAGACAACAATTCTCAATGGCTGTTTTCCCATCTCCACTAGTTCATTGGCAGGACTGACAGTCATTGTTGTACCAAGACATAACATCAGGTCACATTTTGCGGCATGTTCCTGGGCTGTATGGAAAATATCTTCCTCAAGATTGTCACGGAAATTGATGATACTGTCAATTAAGTGTCCTTTGCATCCCTAAATCATGATTGATGAGGATATTAACCAACTCTTCAATGTTGACTTAATGGCCAGAAGATCACAAAACTTTGGCTTGACAAACTAAGGTTCATACAGGTTCTTTAAGAATCAAAATAGGCCCTTTGCAGCTGGGGTCACATGACTAAATTTTTCCTAGAAAATTTTTGTATTATGGGCTGTAACTTAAAGAATACTAGAAATGGAAAGAACGCATTGAAAATACCAAAATGGCCAAGTTTGAGGCCCCAAGAATTAACGAGTAAGTATATACGATGGTTTGAATTTTCGGAAAATTTAGAAGAGTTTTATGGAAAATGAGAGCAAGGCCTTGCTCTCCAACAACATTTTCCATACAAATCTTATTCTTTCAAAAATTCAGCCTGTCAAAAAATCTTATTCTTTAATGATGGGGACTTCAAACTTTCAAAGAAAACTAACAAGAAACTCATATTTTCGACATGCTTTTTCCATTTCTGGCATTCGTTAAGTTACAGCCCATAATTTTATGAAAAATAGGTCATGTGATGGCTTAGCTGCAAAGGGCCTATTCTACTGAAAGAGATGTGGGGATTGGTATATATTTGAAAAAATTCTAGTAAATAGTCCGTTTCCGAGTTATCTTGTACCACTTTCAAAACAAGTTCTTGTTCTTGTTCAAAACCATATGAAGATGAGTTTGATTTGCATAGAAAATGAACCTATAGGTGGCACATTATTTTCTTATGAATGGTTTGGGCAAAGACTTGTTTTGACACAGAAGCAAAAGGCAACTTGGAAATACAGTAGAACCCCGCTAACTCGAACCCCTATAACTCGAACAACCCCGCTAACTCGAACAGAGTCTCAATTCCCTTGGATTTGAACTAACTTTTCAG